GAATTACTTATCAGCTACAGTTTCATAATCGAAAGAGCAACTATCCATGACACTTTTATCGCAGAGCTGTCTTTAATGGCCTCACAAGCGTTCACAAATCTCCACCTGATGGCGACAATGGGAAGCAGCAAAGTAGAAAAAATGCTCCCCCCTCACTCTTTCACCGAATTGCGCCCTATTCAAACGTATAAAGAACTCATGCTGGGTCACATTCAAAACTGAAATATGACTGTAGTGGAAAATTTGTGATTACTCCGTAATCGTTCACAGCTTAAAGCAATGTAGAGCCGAAGATTTAAAAACAATTAGACACGTTTCGGCCAGGATAGTCCAAAATACTCGGTGTCTGGTATCGGAATACTGTCAGATGTACAACAGGAGTTAGCCACCCCTTTCCGACCCTGCTCCCAAATTCTAGACTTTCGAGCAAGGCATGAAGGAAGGCATGGAGTGTCTTGCACTAAGGTGGACCACTTATTAGACCCATCGAGGGACCTTGTTCACCCGCTTCAAGTGCTCAACATTCAGCCACCGCTTCTACTCCGTCGTAGACTTCTGTTCATGAGTCCCACATACATAAAATAAATTTCACAGAGGTCGCGCAAGCATGGCAATCGTTAGAAATGAAAAATTCTCAATAACGAGTGAATTGTATGCAACGCAACACGTTGGCAATGCAGCATTAGTCACATAATCAATGAACGTTACTGCTCAAGGTAAGGAAGAAATAAAAAGGAACCTTGTCAATAGGTTTTCCGGAGCCGTTGAAAATACGACCAAGCATATCCTCCGATACGGGTGAACGAAGAATATCACCAGTGAATTCACAAATAGTGTTCTTGGCATCAATGCCAGAAGTTCCCTCGAAGACCTGAAAGTGAAAAAATGCTTCCCAGCCTCTCACAAATGAAGAAAGAACTGCTCAGAAAGTTAGAGAACGAACCAGGGAACCCTCTTATTCATTTTTGCTTACTTTTAAATATTCAACAATAAACGCATCAACAGTTGAAACAGTTTCCTTTTCACAGAACTACGAGAGGGGTGAAGAAAGTGCCTCACACGGTTGCATCTAGCAAAAGCAGTGGAAAATGTGAGCTGACAACTCTTGTCTGTGCTGATTTATTTACTTACCAGCGTCCAAATGCAATGCTCTTCATCAGAACATTGGTCTGAGTGAAAAGAAAGTCTCAATACCATCTCTAAGTATGGGTGTACCGAGACATTCTTCTGGGTAATTGAAATTAAAGGGATCTCATGTGACGGTGTCAGTACCACTGTTAACAACTGGCTATATCCTCATGCCCTCACCCCACGAGTCGACGGACCTTTCTTTGAGGAATTGGCATAAGAGAGCAGGTTTTCGATAAAAAAAGGGGCTGCTGGAAAGTGAAGGAAAGGTGGGGCAACTTCAGGAAGGAATTGGATGAGGAAGGGGAAGAAGATCATACCAGGGGAGGAACTTGGAGAGGGGTCGTGCTTTGCAGGAAAATTCCTCGAACGGCAGGAACTACACTGATTGCGATTCACTGAACCACAGCATAGCCCCCCCTAGTGTGTTGGAAACTTTTGCGTCGTGGAGTAATGTAGTAGTGGTGTAATCGGAGTAATAGTGTACTCCTTGCTAGTGCCAGCTTGCCACGGAGAAACTAGCAGAAAGCCATTATTCATTTCCGTTCAAAAAGACCACCCCATGTCACAGTTCAGTCTCTTATAAGCAGGAAAAGTTTTCCGATCACCTTCTAAAGTCAATTTTGCTTTCCCGTTCTTAGCATCTGAATATTGTATAGTGGGATGGTTAGGGACAGCTTACGCGCAGGTGGCCGCTGTCCCTTCAGTGGGTAACCGGTCCTTGAACGCGAGGTGGGGATGTTGAACTAACGCTGCACTTTGTGTTGTTCCTAGTCATGGCTGAGGATAGGTGAAACTGAAATGGACTGTTGACAACGATCTGAGAAAGCGTTTACATCCCCAGACCTTTCTCTGAAGCCTTTATCACTGAAAAGTGTAGAATCGGCAGATTACTATCTTTATTCAGTTACATCAAGGGCACGTGCTGCTGTTGGGAAAAATCTTTGCTAAATACGACCCCCCATCTCAAACCTTCCCTTTTGGGGAACCCCTTAATTCTCCAACCCTATCCTACCTACCACTCTCCTATTTTTTCCGAAAATTAACTCCACTTTGTCCATCAGAAACTTTCGTGAGGGTAGATGAGAGGTTGGTATCTATTCTATTCTCACTTGAAGCAGGTAAAACGAGAAAAGTCAACAAACGAAGCCATTTTTCAACGGCCAAGACACCCTTTCTCAGCGACAGATTACGACCCACCCTCAGGAGGACCCCAACGCGTCCCTCGTTACGGCTCCCAAGCATTGAATTAATAGTCTCTTTTCCAGATTATCTTATAATGGGTGTTAATGTCAATTATGGCATTTCTCATGTTTAATGTACTAATTTCAGTTTATAAGACCGTGACTGGTGTGAACGGACCTCTCGTCATCCTCAACGATGTCAAGTTTCCACAATTCAACGAGATTGTGCACATCACTTTACCCGATGGCTCCAAGAGGTCTGGTCAGGTTCTTGAAATAACCCGGAACAAAGCTGTCGTACAGGTACAGTTATGAATATTTTTTGCTATCACAATTACAGCCATCATCTTACTAACTAGGGAGGTCGTCAGGTCGAAGTGGCCATTTGTAATGAGATGTAGCTCACTAAACGTAGTTTTGGACGCTGATCTCGAATCTGCCTTCGAAATTTGCAGAACGATTTTCTGAACGGAGTTATGGAGCTTTTTCCATCGCGTTTACCACGCAACAGGTCGTGGGATCGGATCCCTGCTGAGCTTAACTTTTTTGCTTTTGCGCAAAAAGCGGTTATGGCGTCACTACTACATCACTCTCCTCTCTCTCCAGCGCTCTCCTTAACCTGCCTGAAAAACAGTTTGCTTTCGCCTACTGGCGCGCTTAGTGCCTTACAATCTAGGAGAATTTATGGATGTACAGGTGCCCTTGGCGCGCAGTGCAGGCGTTTTTGCGCTGAGTGAGTGCCGTATTCGTGTTTATCGTAGCGAACTACGCCTAGGTAAAGGTTTCTAGCCTAATCTGGCATTTTGACCTGACCTCGATAAGTGAAGCATCCATAGTTCAGCTGGATGTTCACACCTGTTCAGCCGCAGATACATTCTCCTGCACAACTGAATGGCGCTCGTCTTGCCACTTCTTACGCATTCTGTGGCTTACTGCTCCAGTTTTCCTGGTATCTTAGAAGCAAATTCCGTCCAAAGACAAGCAATCGACAAGAGACTGGCCCTGGAACTATTGGTGACCATCATTCAATCAACTTCTTTTCCACTTTTCAAAGTTAGGTCAAAACCTCACATCTGGCTAGAAACCTGTCCCAAGGGTAGTTTTGCTCCCTGAACACGAATATGGCACCCATTTGGCGTTTGAGTGTTTTCTAGACTTAAAAGAGACATCCCCAATGCCCAAGTGAACGACGCCTCCAGAAATTCGAACCCTTCGTGACATTCCCGCGAAGCAAGACAGTTACCACTAACACCATGCCACCGTTGAATGCGAGGGTGTTTACCGGCTATTCATGCGCATGCTGGCGACCGCGCTCGACTCCGTGTTCCTTCATATCATTTCTAACAAACCTTCATAACTCCGTTCAGAGAATCGTTCTGCAAATTTCGAAGGCAGATTCGAGATCAGCGTCCAAAACCACGTCTAGTGAGCTACATCTCATTACAAATGGCCACTTCGACCTGACGACCTTCCCTAGTAAGATTACTTCGTGCATTCTTGAGGGCTTAGGGCTTACTCTCTTCCCGGTTTTTCTGATCTAGCTTACTTTTTCTCCTCACTTGAATCTGGACAGGGACCATCTTGAGTAATTTTGAAAATTGGCTCTTTGAGCATTAGGATTAGTAGGTTACAAGAACAACTATGCAGTAGGAACGAGAATGACCTTACCACGACAGTGCTGAAATACTGCGAGTGGAAGGCACGTGTTTTTGGGGTCGTTGCTGTAGGATCTGCAATGGGATCGTGCCAAGACCCTACCAGTTTTTTGGTCGACCTCGACCCCTTTTCGGGGGGGTCGTATTTGGTCGCTGGAGGGAAAGGGTCGTCTTGGCCGTTGAGGAAAAAATGCTTCCGGTTGTTGACTTTTCTCGGTTTTACCTGCTTCAAGTGAGCTAGATACGCACTCGCTCTTCCCCGCTCAACGAAAGTTTTCCGATGAGAAAGTGGAGTAATTTTCGGGAGAAAAAAAATAGGAGGGTGGTTGGCAGGATAGGGTTGGAGGAAAGGGGTTCACACCAAAAGGGAAGATTTGAGGGGGGTCGTATTTAGCAAAGATTTTTCCCAACAGCAGTACATGCCCTTGATGTAACTGAATAAAGATAGTAATCTGCCGATTCTACACTTTTCAGTGATAAAGGCTTCAGAGAAAGGTCTGGGGATGTAAACGCTTTCTCAGATCGTTGTCAACAGTCCATTTCAGTTTCACCTATCCTCAGCCATGACTAGGAACAACAACAAAGCTGCAGCGTTAGTTCCCAGTCCCCGCGTTCCAGGACCTTACCCACTGAAGGTGACAGCGGCACCTGCGCGTCAGCTGTCCCTCACAAGTAAGTCTTGCGATGCTGAGAATGGGAAAGCAAAATTGACTTTAGAAGGTGATCGGAAAACTTTTCCTGCTTATAAGAGACTGAACTGTGACATGGGGTGGTCTTTTTGAACGGAAATGAATAATGGCTTTCTGCTAGTTTCTCCGTGGCAAGCTGGCACTAGCAAGGAGTACACTATTACTCCAACTACACCACTACTACATTACTCCACGACGCAAAAGTTTCCAACAACTAGGGGGGGGGGCTATGCTGTGGTTCAGTGAATCGCAATCAGTGTAGTTCCTGCCGTTCGAGGAATTTTCCTGCAAAGCACGACCCCTCTCCAAGTTCCTCCCCTGGTATGATCTTCTTCCCCTTCCTCATCCAATTCCTGAAGTTGCCCCACCTTTCCTTCACTTTTCAGCAGGTTTTTTTTTTCAAAAACCTCTCCTTATCCAATTTCCTCCAAACAAAGGTCGTCGACCGGTGGGGTGAGGGGATGAGATATAGCGCACTTGTAACAGAGAAAAGTCAACACCGAAAATATTTAGCGTTTCTCTCAATGGCAAGTACGACCCTTTCCTCCCTCCAGCGACCGAATACGACCCCATTCGCTGGGGTTCCCTAATGACGGCGTGCCCTGATCTCAGTATTGGGTCTTTCGGAATACATATCATTAACGATCGTACAGCCTGCATAATATGACTTTCAGTAAGTAAATTAATAAATAAAACATACTGAGCCGTGGTTGGGTATTATAGTTCCGGATGGTTGCTGTCTTATGCGAAGTGATACTCTTGTTTACGTCCACCGTTGCCATACCTGTAAACAAATTTTCAATGAGGCACATTACCTATAGTCTGCATGAAAGGCGTACAGAAATAAAATGCACGATACAAAATATACACACAAGGAACAATAAAAAACAATTCAGAGCTAGGCAGGTTGAAGGGAAAATAACGTTGAGCCTAGAACTAGCCTTATGTCGTTAGCCAGTACAGAATCCACCTTCCGTGATGTTAAAAAGGAGAGGTCCCGTGCTATTAAAAAGGGGAGGTCGAAATTCACAAGGGGCTCCCTACCCAAAAAGAAATCCCTGCGGGGATGTCCCTATAAACTCCTGAGGGAACTCTTCTGCCCTCACTGTGATATCAGACAGGGCACCTTCAGTAGTGTATATTTTACGTTTCTCGCTTAGTTCTGATCTTAGATTACTCATGAGAACAGAAGATAGTGGCACTAGCCGAAATGGGTCATTAAATACCCGTTTACTGCTCGCCATCTCTTGGATACATTCGGCAGATTCTAACAAAGTTCGATCGAGTAGGGACTTGCTGGAAATCGAGTTCCTTCAGTGGGCATGTTGACCACTTCGAACACAAATATCGTTATGACTTCTCGAAACCGGCCATAGCGCCATGCCGATAAAAATCTAGGGAAGAAATAGGAATCTACTGACGATTTGGTCTCAGATAAAAACGAACCTCCGGTATAGGTGCGCTACGACCGCTTTTCAACTGGATGCGAATAGTCCTTGCCCGGACTGTCCAAGAATCCTGTGGACGAAAGTTGTTTGCGTCGATTTACACCTGCGGCTGGAGTAATAGTCAATCAAAATAATGGACTCAAGAATTCGAAGAATAGGGGAAACAGTTACGGCGAAATAGCGCAGTTCGAGACGTAAATAGAAGTTCGAGGAAAAAATCTGAGGAAATGATATGCCGTTTCTCTATGTCTGTTTGTTGGCGATATGGCTACTATTTTTTCGGAATCGTCAACCCGGGAAAATTTAATTTTTTTTAGTATTTTTGTCTGCTCTTGCGTGTCATACCCCCTATGACGAGAGAAGATATGTGGACGCCGCGTAGGCGAGGAATATGGGTCCACGTCGTGGGGACGAGTTAGTGAGGTCCGATGAATCGTAACTATTGAGGAGAGATGAGTTGTTGGGTAAAACAAATCGAATAGGCCATGGCAGACCTTTGTATTAATCGTCATTGGGATTCTCTTGAAACTACGTAAAACACAGGCATAAACACCTTGAGTGTGGTTTTAATATGATGACCATTTTCCAAAAGACTAACGTGATTCCTCTTGTTAACTGCAGTCCGATTATTTGAGCCACTTTATTAAATATCAGGTCTGGAACGGCTACGTTATTGCACAGGAAGAAACAGCTCCAACTCGCGCAACTGCTAAACAGGAACACGTCTACATAACAACGTGCTAGTAGCCGATGTTTAGTAGACTTTACACTTTCAAACGACTTTAACAAGTACAGTTTCCTCAGCAAGAGTAAAAACAGTGGAAATGCAACGAAATACAGGCGAAACTAAGCGAATGTACTGGAAATGAACAACGTGAAGACGAAAGGCCAAAACCAAAGAGCAGTTTACCGTCTCCTGCACATTGTCATTGGAGCGCGATTGCTGAAAGTGCAAAAACGTCAATAAACCGCAATTCCTCACTGCAGCAAAGTTGTGACAAAGGAGTGAGTTTACAGGATACTTATGTGGTGTGGGGGTTTTTTTATAGTCTTCATAAAGTGACAAAATCGACAGAAAACTTTCAAAGCTCGTTAGTCACTTGTCTTTTCCTAATGGGCAATGAACGTACGTTCTCAACAGGGAGGACTGTGAAGTCACATTGTATTGCTAATATCGCATTTAAAAACAACAACTACGATCGTTTGCTTGCAACCACTATTTCACAATGATTTTCTCAGAAAAGCCACATCCAAATACCCGAATGGCGTTATTGCGTACATCGCGAGACCACCGTAGCCGTACGCCTAGTTTTATTCGTCTGTAGACTGCGATTCACTGTCTGAGTGTTATCACTGGCGCTCAACTACGGGATGCGGGAAATCCTTCTATGAATACGACAAGAAGGCCTCTTGTCAACTTTTTCTGCTTCTGTACGTCCCCCCCACGATACTGGCAAAAAAATCACATCTTGCAGGGCAAAGGGTGGCGTGTAGGGAGAGCTCCAACAATTACTAGAAACAGTAGCTACCGCGACGCCAACTAGGAGTGATGCGATAATGCACTTTCTGAATACTGCAGAACCGACCGTAAAAATGTTTCAGCAGACGAAAGTCTGTCCCCCCTCCCCCTCCCACCGGAATGACGCCCAAATTATCTCCATTGGGATTACCAAGCGCTGATGTGTCGTGGTTCCTGAGTACCTGTATTATGGTTCGCTGAGTTAGTCGTAAGTTCAGGATTCCTTTTGTCGTCTTCTGACGATCATCTGTACTTTGTACATCAGCATGATTCACACTGCTACAAAATGTAAAGTTCAACCCTTCCGTGACACGTAACACTGGCGAGCGCCACTCTCCTTATTTTCAATACTACTATCCTTCGTCTGATGGTGGTAAGTAGCGTCGACCTGCAATTGAGGCTCGGTATTGCCTGGTTTGTGAGGGTAGCACGGGCGTCGCACGACAGCTGCAACCACCGTATGGTTACGATCGGTGAGCGTACACGATGATGGTTGTGTGTAGTGACGAACACTTGATATTTCGCTGCCATTTTTTGTTCAACCATGGAGTGGGCGCTCGTACTTAACAAGGCGCGCAAGTAAAACAATATAGTATCTAGGAGTGGCGAGTGCACCTGTGTTTCGAGGAAAGGCATCGGGGTGCATCGAGGGTCTAAATGGTAGTAATCGGTCAGGACCAAGGTAGGGGGGTAAGCGGGCTAGGACTTGCAAGCATGAGGCTGATTTGGCACGCGAATGCGATGGGTGGCTGAATATCAGCGGAGATAGCTGCGATTTCTACTGCGGCCAACCGTAGACCAGCCGCTAATTGAACAGCCCGGCCCGAATCAGGTGTATTGAGGGAGTACGTCCAGATGACCTACTTGGATATTCCATCTTCTTTAGGTACTCAACGCCCTTCCATTCCAAGTAGGCGAGAGTTTTTCCAAAACCCTCCGATTCCATGTGGTGGCACCCAATGCTGTAGGCAGTAAGACAGAAAGTTCTAAGAAGGTACGGCGCAGACAACAGTGTGAGGGAAGATATTCTTCTTGAGTTATGCTCGATGTAACCTGCCAGCGCTCATTTCAGGTCGCGGGAGTCCACAAAGAAAAATATAGTCATCCATACCAGGCGACGTACCCAGGTCCATACCATCAACACCTTGGCCTTGGTCGACATGTGTGAAGATGATCCTACGTGCGTGTAGGCGACGGTTGGGAGGCGAGGGCGTGGAGCGGAGGCTGTGACGGCGGTCGGAGAGTAGGGTTCGGCTGTGGCGGAGGGAGGGTTGCTTCCAGATGCGAGAAGTACGCAGGGTCTCCGCCAGGTAGCTATTCATGGGTGACTGCACTCCAGAAATTTGCAGCTGTTAAGGGTGACGTAATTTCAGAAGAGCCCTCCACTCGGAGCAGCTATTGCAGATACTTGCACCCTATTTTGATTTACATGAAGCTGATGGGCAAGAGCCAGCTCCTGCTTATCGTGGAACATCTTGGGTATCTTCCGCCCTGGTACTCGTATCCATCCTGTGTGTGGGCTCCGAAAACCTTGCTGATATGTGATGCTGATATGTGACTCGATCGAAATGACTTTTTTAATTGCCCCCCCCCCTTGTATATTCAGCTGTGTCCGTGTGTGTGTCTGTTGTGCGTCTGTCTGTTTTTCACGAAATTCATAGCACCTGAGGAAGAACTTGGAGATTAGGTCATGGTGGGGGTGGATAGATCATGGGGCAAGACACCGAATACAGCCCATGACCCATGTAGGCCGAGCCGGCCACAGTGGGGCGGTGCATGCCGTCGAAAGTGTAGTGATGTCACCGGAGAAGAAAATTATTAACGGTCGGTTCAAGGCAGGACCTCGAGATAGAGGAACAGTGCAAATAAGGGAGGGGAGAGGCGAAGGGCGGGCGAACCAAGAAAGTAGAGACGAGGAACCCGAAATGGGAGAGAGCGAACGTGAGAGAGAGCGGAGCTTCCACAAACACCGGTCCGTAACTTACGCCGGAATTAGATAGGAGATCACAGAAAAGCCGGCATAAACGAAGAATGAACATCTGGCAAGAGTTCAGCGCAATGTTGAGCGCGTGGCTGAGGCCGCGACGCACAGTGAGCGGAGCGTGCATAAATAAAAAAACAACAAAGGTAACCAGTTGAATGGGTGGAGCCAAGTTTGAAAAGTCGTAAAACGGTTCCAGAGAACCCAAACACCGGAAAAAAAGTTGTTCAAGATCAGCGGCGGGTCATCGGTGAAGCGCGAGACATACGCTGTGGGCGGAGCGTGCGGCGATGTGAGCGGAGCTGAATTTTAAGAAATTCGACTGTTCCAAAGCACTCTAGACAGCGGGAAAAGTAGCTGGAGATCACCGAGGGGTCGCCAGTCCACAAGTGTGAGGCGCGCCTCGTTGTGAGCGGAGTGTCCGGCGAGGTGAGTGGAGCCAATTTCAAAAATTCCTGAAACGGTTCCTGAATCTGCAGCCCGGGAAAAAGGTAGGTCCGTACGAGGACCACGGTCAGGTATCAGAGTGTGAGGCATACAGTTGTGTGTGCAGTCGAGGTGGGCGGGGCCGGTCTTAAGAATTCTCAAGCGGTTCCAGAGCACTCCAGGCCTCCTCTGTGATACGGCCCGGCTTGCGGGGCGTGGCTCCATCGCGCCTACTGCATTCGTACGATCAAATGCTCGACTAATACCCGGCTTTTCTCCCATCTCATCTTACCTGGCTTTTCTCTCATCCACTTTATCAACGCTCCCTACCACCATTACATACACCGTAATAGTGTTGAAAATAGCAGGTATGTGGAATATGAACATGCTATTGGTCAAAGAATGTTGGCCATCTGTTCAAATAAAAGAAAAGCCGGATACTAGGTGGTCATTGGAATGTGTGGAAGATGATAAGCCGGCTTGGCGAAGCCGTGCTGTATCTAAAAAAGAGGCGCGCCGGCATAAGCCGGCGAAACCGGCTGGTTTTAATATATAGAGTAAATGCCAATCGAACGACTGTTCTACTTCGACATTGTCTTTCGCACCTGAGGTAGGGATACCGGGTAACGGGAAGGGCTGCAATGCTCGGTAGCGGCTGCTGGCCCATATGCAAGAACCATGGAAGGCAAGCCCACTCAGCTGAAATGAGGATGCTGATGGGCCTGCGGTTGGACACGACTCGACAGAGTCAGAAACGAGGACGTCAGGGCGGTCACACAGACGGCTCCGATCCAGCTGAAAGCACGACAGCGGCGACAGCATGGGCACGTACTGAGGAGGCCTGGCTAACACCAGATAATAAAAGTGTTG